GAAGGGGCCTCTCGCGCTCAGGAAGTCGGCCCTCCACGTCTGCATTCGTTCCAGGGCACCTTACAGCGCCACCTGCACCTCCAACTTCCCAATCATCCTATCTGTGCCACGGTTCCCAGAGCCTAGCCGGCTCCCTGCACACAGTAGGTCCTCTGTCCCGCGTAATTCCCTCCCGCTTCCTTTGTTGGAGCCCTTGCTGGAGACAGCCACGCTGCGGCGACTCGGGCTCCCCCTGCTGGCTCCCGCAGTAACGGCCTGAGCCGGCACCTGATGGAAAAGCCTGTTTTTTGAGCTAGAGGGGACACTCCAGCCACACTCTGCCCAGCCTGAACTCATCCCTGCCTCCTGCCAAAGTTACTAGCGAGAGGTTGCCACGAAGATCTTATTTTCCATAACTTTATCCTGAATGTAAACAAGATAAAAGATGCACTCATTTGCCCAACAAACATTTGCTGAGCCCTCGCTCCATATTAATCACCACAGCTAACACGGATTGAGCACTTACTACATGAGAGGCATTGTTGGGCTCTTTTCCATGTATCAGCTCATTTAATCCTCATAACAACCCTAACAGTGTGGTTCTGATATGATACCCACTTTACAGTTGAAGACAACCAGGTCCAAAGAAGCATGCCCAGGGTTGCAGCTGGTAAGTGGTTTTGAACCTGAATCTTCTGGCTGCAGAGTCCAGGCTTGTAAGCACTCCATTATGCTATGCAACAGTGATAGAAAACTGTAAGACTTTGGGAGGGGCTTCAAAGCATCCCTTGTTTTATAACGTCCTTGGGTAATTCCTCATGGAAAGAGAAACAGATGAATGTTTTACCTAAAGAGAAATGTTGGGGTTTTCCTGGCTGGTGCTGTTATTCTAGTGTGCAAGAGTGTGTGTGTGGGGGGTGTGTGTGCATGTGTATGTGTTGCTTGTGGCACCAGCAGTTACGAGAATAAGATGGTTTCCTTGCATTTTGAAGAGAAGGTAAACAGACAAAACCAAAACAAATTAAAAAATGCAAATCACCACCAGCTTGAGATTCCTCTTGTCATTCCTCCAAATCTGTACTTCCTCCTACGAAGAAACGAGAATGAGGCTGGGTGGTGCAAACGGTTTGCAACTGGCTGCTAACCTAAAGGTTGGCGGTTCGAACCCAGCCAGCAACTCCATGGAAGAAAGACCTGGTGATCTGCTTCCATAAGGATTACGCCAAGAAAACTCTATGGAGCAGTTCTACTCTGTAACATGGGTTGCCATGAGTTGGAATCAATAATAACAGGTAAGGTCTAGTGGCCTGTTCTTCACTCCTAAGAAGCTAGGAACCATGAAGGAGCCTGACCGACCTCTCTTTGGCCCCCTCCCCAAAGTGGATTCATCACTCTTAATGTTCCTCTCTGTTCCCAGCCACCTTGAATGAGCCCCAGCTGCTGCCCTCACCATGGGCCTGGCCAGCGCTTTGGTGTGGGGTGATAATGCCTGTGAAGAAGGGACACTGTGCAGAGTGTTAAGGAGTGACAAGTCACCTTGGGAAGAGTGCCACAGCGAGAGAGCCATGGACCCCAGACCAAGAGTTCAAGAATCTGAGAGTGAAGAGAGGCCTTGGAGACAAGCTAATCCATTATTTTCCAACAAGGAGACTTCCAAGTTGCCCTCTGCCACAACGGTGCCTCAGGTATAGGATGCTGAATGGGCCACTCCAGACTCTAATGCCAAAATTCCAATGTGGAAACTAGAGACCCATTTGTCACTTTCCACTCAGCCCCAGCCTCAGCCCTGTACCCTGCCCCAGATCCATATATTAATTGTGTGTCTCTGGTCTCCCCTTTTAAGACTCTAAGTTCCTTTGAGGACAGGCTTGTGTGTTACCACTGTATTCCAGGCCCTGAGCACAGGGTCTGACACAAAGTAGGTGCTGAATTAAATAAAAAATTCCCCCATACATCCCTGACTGTTGATCATCCTGCCCCTATTTTAATCCTCCCAGAGATGGGGCACTCACTACCTCTCTGTGGGGCTGCTCTTCTTGTGGGTCTGCTTTCCATAGCCTCCCAGACCTGGTATCAACCTCTGAGCCTTTTCTGAGTCCTAGGAAAAGCTACAAATTGTACCACAAAGCCAGGCACTGCCTTCTGGCCTTCTAGCCCGGTCCAAAGGGAAAAATCTAGAAAAGGAAGATTTTTCTTCCTAAAGGGCATGGGAAGATCCACCTGAGCCCCAGAGGAGAATGCAGCCCTCTGTGGGCTGAATTCACAACACAGTGTGTAAGTGGCTGGGGGCTTCCTTGAAACCCTCAGCATGTCTGGTCATGAGTGTCTGGGAGAGGCTGGCCTGGAAATGCTGAAAGACTGTAATGGCATGTCAGTTCCAAAGTATTTCCCTGAGTTTTCATGTGCCAGGGTGAGCCAGAAGATGTGTATGCATCCGTGCATTCGGTGTGTGTGTGTCAAGCTCTTTTTGAACACAGTCTGTATTTGGACCCAGGAAGATGGGCAGAGCGAGTCTGTATCCTGGGGGAGGGGTTATGTGTTGCATCACCTGGGCACAAGGTGGCGAATGCCCTGTAGTCACAGAAGAGCTGGAGTCTGGATAACCCTGGGGAGGAAGGGGTTGTGTATATATGTGTGTGTAAAAGTGTGTGTGCATTCACAGTCAAATGCCAGTCTGGATGATCTGTGTGTGTGTTCGCATACACAGGTACAGAGAAAACGCCACTCTTGCTTTATATCTGGGTGAGAGTGTATGTTGCCTGTGTGCATATTTACAAACATGTCCCAACCTGGTTCCGTAACACTGTGATCTTATGGTTAAGCATGTATATGTGCCTGTATGCATGTGTGTACGTGTGCTTACAATGTAATCCCAACGCTGTATGTGAGTGACTGTGTGTGTGCTTAGATGCAAAGCCATATCTGAATCTGAGTCAGGGTCTGAATGAGTGTGTGTGTGTGTGTGTAACATGCATACCCCGGCCTGGTTCCACACTCCACACTGCAGGGACCTAGGCAGGTTCTCTGACCATGGAGGCAGAGCCCAGGAAGGTCCCTGGGCTGGCTGAGCGCGTACCTCGAGGAGTATATATATGTGACTGGTATTTATGGGCAACCTCGCCCATCCTTTGTCTGGTGCCCACAACCCGTGGCCTCTAAACTCCTCACCCTGGCAGGATCTCAGCTGTCCTTCTGCAGACTGCCTTCCCCCAAGGAGTCCCTTTAACTCCCAGCGCCTTTCCTGGTTAGGGGGCTGAGAGTTGGGGGATATTCATCTTGGGGAGTTTTTGTTCCGCCTCATGAAAGGCCTCAATGGCTGGGAATACCATTCTAATTACGGGGAAGCCCAGCTTATGTGGGGGACACAAAGGGCTGTGGTCTCATAGCAGCTCCTTCCATCCGTCAAATAAGGCTGTCTAATGACGGGGTGAGAGCTGTGAATGCCTAAAACAAACTCGAAAAGGAGGGAAAATAAAGCTGCCGGGGGCTTAAAATATATTAAATTACCCAGATTAGGAGTCGTGGCTTTGCAAGCGCTGGTTGGAGAGGCTGGGGAGGCTTCAAGTCCTGCTATTCACATTGGGGGAGAGGGGTCAGTAGGTCTGGGGGGGCTTTCAGGGGGGAGGGTTCACAGAGCCCTGGCCATTCTCATGCTAACACTAGGGACACACTGCAGGCTTAGTGGGCTGGAAAATAGAAATGAATTTCCCTTAATCCTCCCCCTCTCCCTCCCGCTCCTCCTTGCAGCCCAGGAGAAGCACTGCCTAATTGCCTTTAGAGCCCGCTGGCCAACAGAGTAGGGCCACACCCTGGCGCCTGCGCCACTGGGCCCTCTCACCTCCTCACACCTTCTTCCAGCAGAGCAGGCTCAGGGCCTGCAAGGCCCCAGGAATGAGAAGGGGCTCCAGGGTTCATCGGCAGGAGTCGTGAAAGCAGACAGCGGGTCTCCAGCGGTGAGAGGTGGCATTATTGTGTACGTGCATGAGTGTGCACACACACATTTCCTCCTTTCAAGGGTGCAATTATTCACAATTTTCAAAACACCCCTTAATACTCATGCACCAGTCACAGACACAATATCCCTTCACTCCTCCACATCAACCTTTCGTGACACACATACACCCTCTCACACACACCCCTTCACAAACACACATGTTCCTAGGCTCAAAAACATGGTCACACAATTTGCAGACACATGTGCCCCTTCACAAGTGAATACACATGGCTCCCCCTTTACAGGCACCCACATAGCCCTTTACAGGCACCTGTGCTTGGACATACAACCCTTCTCAGATAGTCATATGCTGCCACACACACATATATCCCTTTAGATGCACCCCCAGAATCACAGGGACAGAGTGAAGGTCTGAAAGCCCTCACGGATCTAGTACAATTTCAGTGTTTTACAGCAAAGGAAACTGAGGCTCAGAAGACAGCGAAGGGATGCCCTTCTTTAGGGCCGTCCAGTCAGTGCTGTCTCTAACTACTGCATGACCTTGGATAAGTCATTTCCCTCTCTGGGTCTCAGTTTCCCCGCTATGAAGACAAGGGGCTTAGACTAAATGTTCTAGAAGACTTCTTTCAGCTCTGATGTTAGGAGCAACCAAGTCTCAGGGCTGCTCCTCCTGCCCTACTCCTGCCTCTGCACAATTAGGTGTATGTACACACACATTCAGAAGGAGCCCTGGTGGTGCAATGGCTAAGTGCTTAGCTGCTAACTGAAAGGTTGGAGGTTAGAACCCAGCTGCTCAGTGGGAGAAAGACCTGGCAATCTGCTCCTGTAAAGATTACAGCCTAGCAAACCCTATAAGGCAGTACTACTCTGTCACATGGGGTCACTATAAGTCGAAAATCGACTGGATGGCACCTAACAACAACAACACACACATACACACTGTTGACACACATACTTCCACAGTGCACGTGGCAGTGATTCCCCTGAGTGTTATGGAAGCTGATGTTAAATGCACATGTTAAACTAGAGGGTCCGCCTGGGAGCTCGGAGACCCTCACCCGTGCAGGTCCCGCTGCGGTCAGCACTGTAGATGGCGCCGCCAAGCCGCCCACCTACCCTCAACTCTCGCGCATCTGTGGCTCTGACCGTGCCACTGTGCCAGTTTGGGACGCGGGCGTGTCAGGAGTGGATCTGAACCACCGAGCCCCACAGTGCGGCGTCTGGATCCCAGGGGCGCCCTCTGCCGGCGGATCTGGAGAAGGCGCGTCCGGAGGAGGCAAGACGCGTGCACGTGACCCCTCGACTTGACCCTGGGAGTCCGCGCAGTAAAACCTATTCCCTTGGGTTGTCTACTCCTCCCGAGAGGGCCAGAGAACCGCTGGCCCGACTGACGAAGAGACCACGCGAGTAAACTGGGCGGAGGAGCGTGAGCGTGGGGCTAGGCCCGGCCTCGCCGAGGTGGCGCCGCCCGCCCGGTTTCCATCGCCCTTTCTAGGAGAGAGCCAGCGGGCGCAGATGCGTGGAGAGGGCTGGGGCTGGAGCGAGCACACCCAGGGTCTGCCGCTGGCTGCTGGTAAACGTGAGCCAGTCGGCCTCAGCGTTTCCATCTGTGATGCGGGCGAGGGAGGGCCTCTGGCAGCTAAAGGGCTGCAAGGAGAAGCCCTAGTAAGGGCAGGAACCTCCCGCCTGGTCGCCAAAGCTTCCCTGCGCTGGTTCCTGAGGGTTGGGGCACAACCCCGGGCTTCGGTAGGGGAAGGGAGGTGCAGCCGAAATCCTCCTGGCGTGGGCACCGAGGCGCTCTAACCTGTGGTGCGGCATCGTGGAGGGAGAGCAGGGGCTGGGAGACGCGGGCACGTCTGCGTGGGCCGGGTACTTTCAATAAATCGAGGAGTTTCAGAAGGTGAAACGGGCCAAGGATCGCAGGTCTCTCCCCACCACTTCCAACGGATCCAAGACATCCGCAACATGACATGTCCAGAGACCTCTTGTACCCCCGAGGGGGGATGGGAGAGCACCGGTCTCGCCAACGTCTGGTTGTGCGGTCACATACCAGGCTTCGGGCGGGCCCAGCGTTCTTCCCCCTTCCTCCCCGCGGCCCTGCGCGTATGCGCGGCTCCCTCCGCAGCCCGGGCCCTGCTGGGTTCCTCGCCTTAGCTCTCAGTTCCAGGTTTATTGAGGGGGAACCGCGCAGGCCTTCTTCTCCCGGTTTTCCAGCTCCAGGCCAACTGGCCCCCGTACACTCTGTCACAAGGTTGGAGAAACTTCCGCGGCCACTCGCCGGGAGTGGAAGAACAAAGCTGGAATGGGATATGGGGGGATTTGGGAAGGCCGAGTGTTTGAGGGTGTGCCGCATTGCATGGAGAGAGCCGGGCTGCTGAGCTTCGCCGCGGACTGAGTCCGGCAAGGAGGACCGCGCCCAGGCCCCCTGTGTTTCCCAAGCGGCTGCCCCAGGCCTTGGGCCTAGCTGTGCGCCAGGCAGGGGGTGGGGGTGGGGAACCAGCTTCGAGCAGCTGCGCCCTGCTGCGACTGGATTCCGCGTCTCCCTGGCCTTTTGGAGAAGTCGCGTTGAGGTCCGTAGGGGCAGCGGGGACTTGGCTTGGCAGAGAAGGGTGAAAATGAGGGCGCCGGCACAGGAGAGGGGGCAAGGCTGAAGTCCTTCCAGCCGCGCCTGGAGGGCCAGTCCCGGCGCTTGGGGAGACCACCCAGGTGCCCTCTTCTCCCCACCCCACCCCACCCCAAGCCCTTCTCCGCAGCCAGCCACTCCAAGATGCATGGATAGGTCCGAAAGCGCACACACCCACGCCACTAAAGCATTCGACACAAATACGCAAGAGCAATCAATTCGAATTTCAGAAATTTTTCCAAAAATAAAATAAATAAACTAAGCCTCACGTGGCGACGCTCAAGCCCTGGACCCTGAGGTGGGGAATGGGCGCGGGCGTGGAGAAGGGGCTTGAGGGATTCCCTACGGGTGGGAGGGAACCCCTAGACCTCGCGGTTGCCCGCGACCTGGTGCCATTGTTCGCGGATGAGGGCCACGCCAGCTTGTGGGCCGCCAAAGGAGCCCACGTGGGCTGGAGGCGGCCCACAAGCCGCTACGCAAAAATGCCTGGGTTCTCCCAACACAGGAGCCGCCGGAGTCCGATTTGTAGCTAGAACGACAGGAGACAGGGAATTTCGAGCCGTTCCTAGTTTAAAGCGTATCTCCAAAAGTCACCCTCACCGTCCCGCATCTGCCCCCGCCCCCATCAATTACCTCCCATTAATCATAAACAGAAACGGGATATTGTTTTTTTTCCTAGAATATCCCAAAGATGAGTGGCGGTATTAAGGGCGAATTCCAGCGGGGCCAAGCTTGTTTTTGTCATGATGGCGCTGCCAGGGCTCGGGGAAAATCTCTGCGGTCCTGGCGAGGACACGGTGGTGGGGGCCAGCGGGGCTGAGGGCTCAGAGCCACCTGCTTTTCCACCCAGAACTGCAGCCTAGATTCCCGTGCCCGGCCCCGCTGCAGTCCGGGTCCTCGCGCTCAGACCTGGCGCGCCAGCCCGCCTCGCGAAGAGAACCCAGTTCCCGGCAGGTCCCCCGGAACCGAGTCAGGCACAGCCGCCTGCAGGACCGCAGGATCTCAAGGGTCCTACCCAGTCATTGGCAAGAGCCTAGAGGCTGGATTTTCCGAAGCTGCCGGCGTTGGGCTCGTGGAACAGTATTTAGGGAACTCGCTAGGAAATCCTGATAGGCAGGGATTTTCTAAACATCCCGGATCCCCGAACCCCGCGTCGCTACCGGCTTGAGCCACGCGAGCGATGGCCGGCAGAGCGGGACTTTGGGTAGTGGTTTCTGGGCTTCTGTTGGTAAAACACAGAAAGAAACTGGGAGAGCCGAATGAAGACAAAGCCGTTTAAAAACGTTCGATTGGCAAAATCTCCATACTCAGCTAACACTTGAATTTTCAGAGCTGCCGAAGGCTGTATGCAGGTCCAGAAAATCGATTGTGTTTCAGGGTGAATTCCACCTAGGTAACAAGAGTCCTGGAGCGTCTCCCGTATACACAGAAAACACACATGTTGGAAGGAATGGATACATGGCAGAGTAGGATGCCCTCAGGACCCAAAGGCGTTTATAAACCTACCGGCGCGCGTTTCTGGGTGTATACAAATGTATGCCTGTTCACCCTACTTTGGGCTGCCACGGGTGTGCTGGCTGAGCCCCTTTTCCTTATACTGGCCTGGGGTTTTGCAAATTGAGTTCCCCATCCTTATATCCTCGGTGCTTTCTGTTCAGCCTTAAGAGCCCGACCTCGAGCTGTGGGGGGCAGCCAAGGGTGGGGAAGGATTCTCAGGATCTGGAAAAAGGATGCAGCTGGAGCCCACGCAGTCAAGGTTGACAGGCTCCACGGCACCCGGGGCCAAGTTTCCAATGTTTGCCGGCGCCAAGTGGAGGGACCCACGGAGCAGTGTGCCCGCGCATTCGTGCAGGTGTATCCGCATGCCCCTGTGGCCAGAACGCAGGGCAAGGCTTTCCCAAGGCCCTGTATTCCTCGCGCTGACTTTTCCCATCAACCGGCGAGACGCGGGCTATTGACCCAGCGGCCTTCTCCTCTCCGCCTATTGTCGCCGCTCAATCAGGCACTTACCGGCAGAAAAGCGAGTTTGTCTTAGCCTGGAGGAGCCTCTTGTGTGTGTATGTGTGTGTGTGTGTGTGTTGCGCGCGTGTGCTTGTGACTCAAGGGTGGGGGAAATTCTACAACCACGACTGTGCAGATGGGTTGAGGAAAGACACTTTCAGAAAAGGGCCAATTTCCCTTTCACAATGAGCGCTAAGTACCTGATAAATAGGACTGGTGTTTATTCATGAGCAGGTACTTTGGAGCTCGCGATTAGAACAGCCGGCCGCGCCGCCTCGCCAAGGTACTTAAAGCCGGGCAGGTGCAGCGCTCCGCGCGGCCCCACCGCACAAAGCCCCCAGCCGCCGCGGCGCGGGGAGGAGGCGTGAATCCGGGCAGCTCTGGGCCCCGAGGGCGCGCTGCGCGCAGGCACCTTAGCCCTTTGTTCCTCATCCGAAGCCAAGGCGACTTCACCGAGGGGCGCCCCGAAAAAACCTCCCCTCTAATTACAGAGATCCCCCTTCATCCCTCCTCCCGGAGTCCAGCCCGACAATTCCGGTTCTGGCGGGCGCGGGGACTCAGCGTGAGACCAGGCTCGGCGTTTGCATAAATGCTGCCTGTGAGCTGGCTATTAGCTAACCAGCTAAGTAACGAACTAACTCAGCAACTAAGGAAAGAAACAAACCCAGGCCTGGGAATCTTGCGGGCACGCGGCCCAGGCTGCTCCCGCCGCCGCGGCGCCACCTCTGGCGGTGCGGGTAACCTCGGGCTTTCAGGTTTTGTTTCAGCTCCAAGGGGAGAAAATTGGGGTCTGTCTCTTTCTACAGTTTCCTGGCGCCGAGGTCGTGGGACAAATCCGATCTTGCCCTCAGAGCGGCTCCAGAATCCTTAACAACCCCCAGCTTTTGCCCACGAGCGGCGGCCTCCGCCCTGCGCGCGCAGGGAGCGCAGTAGGTGCCTAGGCCTTGGGGGACCAAGCGGGGGTCCTCCGCGTAAACAGACGTGGAGCCGCCGAGGGAATTCCTCGGGTCAGGCTTGCGGGGTTGCGGGGCACCAAGAGAGTGTTCCGCGACATCCTCGGTCTGGCACTTCCTTGGCAGCGCGAGGGCTTCGTGTCTGTAACGACCCAAGGTCTAAGGCACTGGTGGCGTGAGCACCCTTGGCCGAACTCATCAGGCTTGGTTTCCCGAGGCCTCTGCTCTCGACCGCTAGTCCTGGCCATTGCGGTTTGCACCGCCTTGTACCGCCAGGCCGACTACCCCCCTTCCGCTCAACACACACCTGTCGGGATGCCTCCTGTTTTAATCGTTTATAATCACAGATTCGGAGAATCTCTCCAGTCCACAGAGTCAGAGAGAGGAAATTTGTGTTTCAAACGAACTGGATTCTTCTTGGGGAGGAAATTCTTTCAGAATGACTGGAAACGGGGACAGGGGCCTGACGCGACCCACGAAGGGGCAGTTTTTACATTTTCCAGATTGACCAGGAGATTGCAGATATTAACATTCATTATAGATTTTCTTGAAACCTTAGGGATAGATTAAATTACAGAGATATATAATAATCCAGATTCCTGGGGAAACCCGACATCCAATGTATGAGCGCAAATCGAAAGTGGTAACCAGGTGGCGGCCGGAAGCCGGCCCAGTGCTGTGGCCCGCTTCGCGCCTCGAGCCCCCGCCCGGCTGCCCGCGGTAAGTTAAGGGGGTCCACAAGAGAAGCAAGGCTTCCCTCGCGTCTTCTGCCATGACCTGAGTTCGGGGTCGAGGGTGACGCGTCCTCTCCGGTACTGTCTGCACCGCCTGCGCCCTTGCTCCAAGAAGGCGCTGGGGGATTGCGAGACCGCCTGCTCTCCACCGGCGCGCCGCGGCTTTGCCAACGACCTTGCAAATAGTCTCTTTTACACTGTGGCCTGGGGAAGTGTGAAAAGAGCGCGGAACAGGGCGGCGCCGGTCCCGACGCCCGAAAGGCTAGAAGCCTGGACTGCCAGGCCCCCGGGCCGACAGGGCGCAGCCTTCTTGGTCCCCCCCGGGAGGTGGCTGCCATCCGGCAGGAGGCCCCCAAATCAGGAAGGATGTGGAAGATAGGTCCAAAATGGGGTGAGGGTGTTAGAGATGACGCATCACAAAGCAGTATTTATATTTTCCATTCGCAAGACCTACAAGGCGCACCCTAAAGATGCAGACGGGATCAGGAGGGT